TTCAGGACAAAAACGATGTATGTTTTAACTAGATAAATCCTTATAAATATGATGTGGCGTCAACATGACATCCTTCTGGCAAAATTTTGTGCACATTACATTCATCAATACAACCACCACCATCATATAGCACCATGAGTTCGTTAGGATTTTGTGTTACATAACAAAAAATTATGCATAATATGAAAGCTTTCATGGATTATGAAATCATATAGACAACATCGATGAAGGTGATGTTGGTAAAGGAAATAGTTATTTGATTTATTTTTTTTCATAATATCAGTTTTAAGTTTTCAATAAATAAAAATATACATATTAATTATTGTTTTATATTAAACTAAATTTCAAGTTTAATCAAATAAGATTTAAATAAAAAATACAGTCCACATGAACGTCATATTAGCACCACATGGTTAGGATCAAATATGCAAAAAAAATTAACTATAACATGTTTCCAATTGTTCCACTTTTTTTAATTTTGAAATCCCTAATCTTCACTTCTTCGAGTAACACATTGCTATCTTTATCAACACTTTCGATCATCCACCTTTATTTAGGGTTGGCACTCCCAACCCAAACTCAACTCGGTAATTAGTAATTAGCAAGTTGGGTTGAGATCTCTAACCTGTTTAATTAAATTGGTCAAACCATCTAACATGTTTAATTAAATGGGTTGGGTTAGGTTGAAAACTTGAAATTCTTAAAATGTTTACTACCCGTTTAAATTTTTTAAATATTCTATATATATATATATATATATATATATATATATATATATATATATATATAGAGAGAGAGAGAGAGAGAGAGAGAGAGAGCTTGGTTCAAATGTGGATTGACATCTATTGTGCGGACGTATGGACAATGCTATTCTGTGAGAATAACAAAGAAAATATGTTGCTTGATACTGTGAATACATTCAATCTTACATAACTATTATCATTATCACGCATTCTCATTAACTAAATCGTCTATAAGGTTATTATAGACTTTTTTTTTTATTATTCTCATTCTGTCAGAATGTTGTTAGAATATTTATTATTGAGTCATATTCTATAAGAATGAAAATAAGTGATAAACGATGCATGAGAACAAAAATGAATAAGAATTAGTGAGAATGCATGAAAATGATAATAGTTGTGTGAGATTGAACATATTCACATTATTAAACAACATATTCTCTTAGTAATTCTCATAGAATAGCACTGTCACACGTTCACACTATTAAACAACACATTCTTATTTAATTGATTATTATATTTTAATTATTTTTTATTACTCAAAAAACGTGGGTTATCAACCATTATTAGTGGTCGATTTGTGTAGCATTTACAAATTAAATATGTATAATGTTTTTGTTGTTGTAAACATTTGATTTTTGTTTGTGTTATAGACTTATCGACTTATTGTTGTATTGTTTTCAGACAGGAATATTTATTGGAGTTTTTAAGCTTTATGTAATTTTATTTGATGGATTAGTTGATTTTCAAGGGTTTTTTTTTGGAAATTTAAATAGGTTAACCTGGCCTGTTTATTAAACAAGTTAGGTTGGGAGAAGTGAAAGTACATTGCTATTTCTCACATACCTCAACATCATCAATTGAATCGATAACTAGGGTTCCATCGAGTGACAAAATCTTCAATAAGAACATTACGACCTCTAATGACCAAAGTAGATTTTTAAGAAACATTGACCTGTAATTACCTATTTTGGCTTCCACAAAACACGAGACCAAACCTCCACCTCTTGGCCTTTAAACTGCTATAAATCTGGATCATCTACCTTAACACCCTCCCAAAGAAAAGAAACATAAGATTGTGGGAAAATTATATTTTTAGTCGGTGAGTAAAGACGATTTTTTTCAATTTAGTCCAAGAAAGTTTTTATCTTACAATTTTGGTCCTTATTTGAGATTATTGTAACATTTTTTGGTCTTTGTTCCAAGCAAAATGACTATTTTAATCTCCGATTATAGTTGATTTTTCCAAATTTAATCCTAAAATATATGCATTTTACTTTGAATAAGGACCTATGTTTACTCCTTTACTTTGAATAAGGACCTTTTTTGTGCAAATATACTTGATAAATGAATCTTACCACCGCTACAACTATCATATACCGCCATGAAATCAATGTAAAGATTTTGAGTTTCATAAAAAAAAATTATAAAATATCCCACTCTTTGAAGTTTGACCAAATGTGAAGGCTGGAAATAATCAATCTACCTCAACACTTCCCCACTAAAAACCTTTTGTCTTTGTTTTAAGGGAAAATGACATTGTAGCACAAAAAACTATTGTCTTTGGCCCGACTTCATCGCTAAAGTATTTTTTTGCCCAATAGATCACTCACTGAGATCTTAATTTGTGTATCAATTTCATCATTTTCATTAAGAAATCAGTTACTCCCGTTAAGTTTGATAACATGGCATGCCATGTGGGACATCATTGCCACACCATCGTCTTCAACCTCTAGCAACTTGTATTTTCTCGTCTTTAACCTTAGGCATCCACCAAACACTACCGCCCACCATCACCAAATCATTCCATTTTTATTTGTAATATCCTTTTCATAAAGTTGGGGTAAGAGAGAATAAAATAAATTTCTTATAATACTTATAACGGCATCTCCACGTATCTATATCCCTACCATCCTCTCAATATCTTGAATCTTCTACACTTTCCTTCAAATATGTACATACTATCCACCTTATTATCATATCATGAGGACACTTTGATTTTTATCTATTGCTTGGAAAAAAAAAGCATAGTTCCTACTGCCATTTACACCATTTTTTATGGGAAGAACATGTATGATTCACCTCCTCCAGATAACACTCCTGCTAACACTCTCATGAAGTTAAAGGTAGACCACTGAGATGTCGTCGCACTTGTGATTTTTGTAATCAATCGACGACGTTGATATCATCGGGAAGTTTATTCGACTAATCATGTATTCACTAAGCACACACGCACGTTGCTTTGTGATGGTTGTGATTCTTCAAATGCTTCGGTTTTATACTCTAGTGATGTTGTTCACTGCTAGAATTGCGACTGGGAGATGCATAAAAAATAAAAGTCGAATTCCGCCAGCAACACCAGACCGACATCCTCTTGAAGGGTTTACATGATGTTAGTGGTGGTTTGACACTTTGACATAGCGGTGGTTTGACCAATGGTGTTGTTTTTCTTCGGTCTACTAATGACAAAACCATTAAATTTTGGAAGGTAGCTTTTGTAATGTCCTCAGCCCCTAATAGAAAGTTGGTGTAATACCCTCCATGTCAACTTAAGTTTATTAACTCAAAACAAAAAAATACCTTAACTACTTAGCGAATCACAATTCTTGCAATTGTAGATGTTTTTGTTTTCCTTAAATGATTTTTATAAAAAAAATTGGGGTTATCTTATTTAGAATTAATTGTTATTCATGTGGCATCTTTAACTGCTATGCTTATGATTTGTACATAACATATCACTGCAATTTGGGCTTTATCACACATGTACAACTGCTCTCATCAGGTATGAAATTTGTATCAATAACATTTTTCCCCATACAAGTACAACACAGTTAATTACATATAATTGTTTATTATTTTCTTTTATAATGATATTTTTACCAAAAAAAAAGGACAAATTAAAGATGAATGATTCTAAATGGGTGGAACACACAATGCTTAATTTCCATGAAATTAGAACCTAAAACTAAAAGACAAATTAAAGATGAAGAGTTATAATAAACAGCCCCAGTCCCAAGTAAGACTCTTCAAAGACTTGAAAGTCTTGGCAATTTGTATTTATTATCAAAATCTTTTTCCAAACATGTGATATTTTCAAAGACATATAAAAAAGTGATGTGATCAGATTCAGAGTTGTTAAAAATGGGCTCCACAAAAGGTAATTCATGGTCTTTGTTAGAAGGCCCCAACATGCTCCTGGGACCAACCAATTTTTCAAAAGTAAATTATTTTATTGATGTGAGAAAATTATAAAAAGAAAAGGATTCAAAAGGTAACTCCTGGGCCCCTATCAGGTTTTATATAATCTTTGACTGTCAAGATAAATGATTCTAAGTGGGACATACAACATGTGATTTCCATGAGATTTGAAGAATTGAAATTAATTGGCCCAAAATAGACGTTCAAATTGGCAATTTGTCTGTATTATAGACATCTGTTCCCATCTTGTGATATTTTTGCAATTTGTATTTATTATCTTTATCTTGTTCTCATCTCCTGATACTTTTTTTGGTGTGTCATATTTTTCATAAAAAATTGAAAGTATGGCGCTATAGATCATTCTTAAGACCAACAAAGAACAACCAGATTTAGCTGTTTAAACAAATTTGGAACTTTGTTAGGATATTATAAACTGGAGAAGCTATGTAGTTTAGTTGATGGGTAGGCTAATTACGAATTATTTAATATGTTCTTCTAACAGGTATCATAGAGAGCAAAATGAAAGTTATATTGAGTATACTTTCATGTATTTTTAAATTTAATACATGTAAGAAGCAAATTATCTGTCATATCATAATGAGCATCTCAATTAAGGCTTAATTATGTATGTACATACAAGAAGCACAATATAACTTAATCATCTTAATAATTAAAACATCATTAAACTTTCACAATTTTTTACATCCAATACACCAGCAAAAATAAATTTTTATATAATAATACTCATATCAGTTAAGAACTAGTTATAGACATACACATATGAACCAAAATCTAAGTTGATCATTTCAATACTATTTGTTGGGTCAAGTTGGGTAATGCATGGTATATCCAAGAAAAATATTTGAAATTCTTCTCTTCATCAAGTAGGTTAGACCATTAAATTCTTTAAAAGTAAAATCATTATTAACATGTGCAAAGTTTACTTCTTTTATCCTTAAATTAGGGCAACCAAAGAGTCTACATCATTGGAATCCACGAAACCCATTTTGGACATTGATATCCACAAGTGCACCTACACCTTCCACAATGACAAACTGATCAATTTGCACTTCATACGCTTCAAATTCCCACAAAAGAAGATGGTTCCATTTTCCCTCCTCCTTGTACGACTTAGGGTTGTCGAGATCATCAAATAAGGTGCATTGGGTTTCAGTATAACCCTACCAGCCACCTAAGCATCTAGTATACTCACCTAACATTCGGTTCGACAAATCAATCCATTGAATTAGAGTTAACTCGGTAATATCCCAAAAATGAATAAATTACCTGATTTCTTGTTTTTTCTATTAATAGAAAACATAATTTTTAATTTTTTTCATAAGTATGGTAAAAGTTGCGGGACATTCTTTTTCCTTTTTTAATACCTTAAGGCCTTTATAAATTTATTAATTTAGTTTATCGCGCTCGTGATCGATACATCAGAAATTAATTTCTGATTTTGAAACAAGATTGGTGATTATGCTCGCAAGATCCAGATAGGATCGTGAGATCTATGTGCCATCCAATACACCATTTTTCCTCTACAATCAAAATCAGTCAACGAGGGTTCCAAATCAGACATCGTAGCAGAGCAACCACACATCATTGCCTAGGTGATGTCCTACTTCTGTATTCTTGCTTCATTTTGGGTATTCTTCATGTGCATCTAATCTATTGTTAGATTAGGAGACAGACTTGTGAGTTTATATTATTTGCAAAACCTGCAAATTCAGGGTTTTGCCATGGAAAAGGCCATTGATTTTTACTGATCGATGGGTTTTATTTCTCAGTTATGAATAATATAAATGTAAAAATGGAGCGTGTTCTGGCCTTTATCTGATATTTTCTTCCAGCTACCTTATGAGCATCTGTTCTGTTGGTTGATTGTGCCTACATTGTTAAGCTAATGTTTGTGCTTACATTGTTATGCTGCACAAGTAGGTGCAACATAATATTATTTGATTGCAGTTGAATTAGTGTTGTTGATGATATCTTTCAAACTTAGCTTTTAGAAGAGGTAAATGCTAAAATCACCGGGGGTTAAGTTGATCGATTGTTTTGGATGAGAGCAAATGTATTCGGCTTCTCATTAACACCATAATCTACTACACTTTGTGATAATTTGTATTGTGACTTTGATGATAATACATTTGGTCAAATGCAAAAGGGTTAAATGTAAGAAATAGCAACGTACATTCATTAATCTTTTTATTTTTGCAATATTGTACTTTCATTTATTCTCTATTAAGACATTTTAGTATTTTGTTGATGTCTATATGAACAGGCCCATGAGGGTTTATATAGTATCCATGAAGATGAATGATTCTAAATGGGTGGAACACACAATGCTTAATTTCCATGAAATTAGAGCCTAAAACTAGAAGACAAATTAAAGATGAAGAGTTATAATACACTGCCCCAAATTAGATGTTCAAAGACTTGCAAGTCTTGGCAATTTGAATTTATTATCAAGATCTTTTCCAAACTTGTGATATTTTCAAAGATACATCACTTTTAAAAAAGTGATGTGATGAGAATTGTTAAAAGTGGGCTCCACAACAAGTAATTCTTGGTCTGTGTTAGAAGGCCCAAACATGCTCCTGGGCCCATGAGGGTGGCCTCAAATTGGTGGCCACTTATATGAGGCATACACAATTTCCATCAATACTTATTTTCCATAAAATTAGAACAAGACTATAAGAAAAATCATAGATGCAGAATTGGAATTAATGGCCCCAAATTATACGTTCAAAGACTTATAAGTCTTGGGAATTTGTCTTTATTGTAGATATCTTTTCTCATCTTGTGATATTTTGCAATTTGTATTTTTTATAAAAAAAAAATTGAAAGTATGAACTGGAGAAGCTATGTAGTTTAGTTGATGGATAGGCTAATTACTAATTACTTAATGTGTTCTTCTAACAGCTATCATAGAGAGTAAAATGAAAATTTTATTGAATATACTTTCATGTATTTTTTTAAAAAAAAAAATTAATGCATGTACAAAGAAAATTATCTATCATATTGTAATGAGCATCTCAATTAAGGTTTAGTAACTAAAACATCATTATACTTTCACGGTTTTTTACATTCAATACACGAGCAAAAATAAATTTTCATATAATAATACTCATATCAGTTAAGAACTAGTTATCTACATACCTGTATGAAGCAGAATCTAAGTTGATCATTTCAATAATTATTTTTAGTAATTTGTATCCAGTTTAACGGCTTCTTTTTTTTTTTTTTTGGAAAAAGTATTCTCCTGGATGTCTTTAAATGGCCAACATACCCCTTGTATTACATCAAGAGGTAGCTAACTATGAAAGTAGGATACTATAATACTTAATACATCAATACGTTGTCTTTGAGATTAATATTAATAACATGATTTTCTTAAATTTTGTAAATGAGTAGTGCAAAGTTCTAAAGTTGAATGGAGTGGAGCTTCAGAAGCTACAAATTGCTGGTCAGAAAAGACAGTTGCAGAATTGGAGCCTTTAATATGTGATTTTTGATTCACAGGAGCTTAATTTAGGTAAACAGAAGGTAGGATTTGTTGCAAATGAAAACTTCTGTTTATGTATGTTATGTTTATTTTTGAGTAAAATAAAATGTTTTTGGTCCCTGAGTATAGCTGAAATTTTCAGTTTTGGTCCTTATTTGAGGTTCTTGAAATGCTTTGGTCCATGTTTCAGTTAAAATGACTATATTTGGTTCCCGATCGAGTATAGCTGATATTAATTATAGTCATTTTATTTGGAATATGGACAAAAGAATGTTGAAAAATTGTATTAGTTATCATCCTAATCTGTTTTAAATCGAATCATTATTAATGCAGTGTTATTTTAAATATCATTTTTAACAATGGAAAAGACCAAATAATATCACTATTGATATCATTGGTAGATTTGTATTTGACTGAAAGATTCCATTAGTTTTGCATTTGGGGATTTATATCATATACCAAACAATATCATATCAGAAGATGGGAAAAGATATCTACTATAATAAAGACAAATTGCCAAGACTTGCAAGTCTTTGAAGTTTAATTTGGGGCAATTAATTCCACACAATTTATGGCGACCCACTTATAATCATTCATCTTCACGGTGGAGACTATATAAACCCTTATGGGGGCAGTTCATATAGGCAGGCATCAATACAAACCAAAAATCAGCAATTAAGATTTTGATTTACATTATGAATTTTTGTGTTTTTATAATTTCCTCACTTCTCTTGCTACTCCTTGTGACTACAACTGGCAGCCAATTGGTAGCTGCAGGAGGAAATGATATGAAAAAGAAGTGTTTGGATAATGAGAGAGATGCTCTCCTTCTTTTCAAAGCTTCCTTTCAAGACCCTTATGATTATCTCTCTACATGGAGAGCTGATGAGCATGACTGCTGTAAATGGAGTGGAGTCACGTGCAGCAACCAAACAGGTCATGTCACAGGGCTTGATATCAATGTATATTGGCTTGAAGGTGAGATAAGCCATTCACTGCTTAACTTAACCTACTTGAATCATCTTGGCCTTTACGGTAACGCTTTTTATGGAACCATTCCCACCTTCATTGGTTCTTTGACTCGATTAAGGTACCTTAACCTTGGCTTGAATCATTTTAATGGGACCATTCCCAGGTCAATTGGTTCCTTGACTGAACTAAGTTACCTTTCCCTTTCTTATAATTCTCTTTATGGAACCATTCCACCAGAGTTTGGAAACCTCACCAACTTGCAAGAGCTTCATCTTGATTCTGTTGGAAGGTGTAGAGTGGAAAAGGTAGAGTGGTTGTCTCATCTCTCTCAGTTGGAGGTACTTGTAATGGATGGGGTTTCCCTGTCCAAAGCAAATCATTGGGTAGATGTAATTTCAAGTCTCCCAAAACTCTCATGGTTAAGTTTACAGAGATGTGAGCTGTCACAGGTCATGTATCCATATTCTTCTTCATTTCTCAACTCTTCTTCATCTATTCATACCCTTTATCTCAATGACAACAATCTCAACTCGTCCATGTATCGTTGGTTGTTCCCATTAACCAGCAATAGCATTCAAATCCTTGATCTTACCAGCAACATGTTAGATGGGATACCCAAATATCTTGGTAACCTCTGTAGTCTGGAATATTTGTACTTCTATAACAACTCTGCTGCTGTCAAATTTCCTGATTTTCTCAACAACTTGTCTGGATGCACATCCCTTTCATTACAAGAGTTGTCTGCTCAAGGAAGCCAATTTACAGGGCCACTGTCCGATGTGATCCAGAAGTTTGCATCCCTACGATACTTGTACCTATCTGATAATCAGTTAAATGGAAGTATAAGTGAGAAACTGTGGGAACTACCCAGCCTCCAAATTCTTGACCTTGCTTCTAATAATCTTACAGTTCCTTCCACGTATCACTTGTCAGGCCTTTCTTATTTAAAGTATGTTGATCTGAGCTCTTGCAAGGTAGGGCCTCGCTTCCCCAAATGGATTCAGACACTCAAAAATCTTACCAGTCTTGATCTTTCCAATACTGGAATTTCAGACGCAATTCCTCTGGAGTTTTGGGACATGTGGCCTTCTCAATTAGAATATCTGAATCTCTCTTCCAACAACATTAGCGGGAAAGTACCAGATTTATCATCAAATTTTGACAAAGATTATTCAGCGATAGATTTGAGTTCTAACAGCTTTTTTGGTTCGATACCCAATGTTTCTTCCACGTTGTCATCATTAAATCTTTCCAGAAACAAATTCTCTGGAGGAATCTCCTTCATATGCCAAGCTGTTGATGGGTTCTTATCATTTCTTGACCTCTCTCATAACTCATTAACCGGACAACTCCCGGACTGTTTGTGGCATTTTAAATACCTAAGAGTTCTTAATCTCGGACACAACAATCTCTTTGGAAGTCTTCCTCCCTCTATTGGATCTTTGATACAACTCCAGGTGTTGTATGTATACGATAACAACTTCTCCGGAGAATTGCCTTTGTCCTTAAAAAATTGCACGAGTTTAATCTCATTGAATTTGGGGGCCAACAAGTTTTCTGGTAATGTGCCTGTTTGGATAGGAGAAAACCTATCAGGGCTGTATGTTCTTATCCTAAGATCAAACAACTTCTTTGGAACCATCCCTTTACAGTTATGTCAGTTAACTAATCTTCAAATTCTAGACCTGTCAATGAACAATCTCCATGGAAGCATCCCCTCATGTTTCAGTAATCTTACGAGCATGCTTCACCAAGGAGGATTCTCACAAGATGTAGTGTTTTATATAAATGTAACCAATAATCCATATGAATCAGGGCCATATGTTGACCATGCAATGATTGAGTGGCAAGGAGAGGAACATGAATTCTTTAACACTCTGAAATTGTTGAAGAGCATTGACCTGTCCAGCAACAATCTAACAGGACAAATCCCAAATGAAATTACCAATCTTTCAGACTTGATTGCCCTGAATTTTTCAAAGAATGCTCTATCTGGAGAGATTCCACAGCATATTGGTGAGATGAAAAAGCTTCTAACTTTGGATTTATCCAGAAACAGGTTTTCAGGGAGGCTACCATCAAGCATGTCTCAGATGAGCTTACTGAATTATCTAGACTTGTCATATAATCACTTTTCAGGGAGAATCCCATCTAGCACTCAGCTCCAATCCTTTGAACCTTCAAGATACAATGGAAACAAAGGACTATGTGGACCTCCCCTTACCAAAAAATGTCCAGGGGATGAAGAATCAGAACCAACATCGGTGATTGGTAAAAGTGAGGGTGATGGGGAAGACACAGATGATGAATTCGAACTCTGGGGATGGTTTTATATTGGTGGGGGCATGGGTTTTGCTACTGGATTTTGGATAGCATGTGGCGCTTTACTTCTCAACCGTCGAGGCAGACGTGCATTTTTTCAGTTTTATGACAGCTTCAAAGATTGGGTTTATGTGAAAGTGGTTGTGTTCATTTCAAGTATGCAAAAGGCTAGACACACGTAGTTTGTCAACTAGTTTTTATTTTTGATTTCTTATTTTCTAATATGTAATGTAATTTGGTTGGGGTTTTTAAATCCCCCATATCAATATATTTGCCACCAACACCATGGGTGGCCATTTTCCCTGTTTTGTATGAAATAAGATATCCTCAAATAAATCATACATTCATAGCATAAAAAAACACAATGAAAATTAGAGGTACACTAAAAAAATTGGAAACCGGACCGGACCATTGTGGAAAAAAATAGTTTGATACAAATCAAGTTTGTTTGGACCGGACCATTGTGGAAAAAAATAGTTTGATACAAATCAAGTTTGTTTGGAACGAACAACCTGTTTAGTAATGAGATACGGGACCTCGCCCACACTCATCTCCCTACCAGGCACATACAAGTATTACACAGACAACAACATACAAGTATCACACAGACAACAAGTATAATCTAACATGCAAACATTCCTTAGGCACCCGCTCAGCATCGAACCTTGGTCCAGAATAACGTACTAGCATACAATGCCTAGGACTAACCCTCGGGTCTTCCTACTCATAGACTACATGGGTTGGCATTGTGGCCTTAGACCCATTCACACAGTGAGGAGGTTCTGCATCTCATTATTAGCAGAGTATGTTTCTTTATGTGTTAGGATGTTATATGATTGTATGTGTTTAGCGGGCGGGGCCCGGAGACAGGCGGGGCCTAAGCGAGACAGATCTATATACCGAGCGGGGCTCGATGCCAGGCGGGGACTGATGCGGGGCGGGACCCGATGCTAGAGTATTAAATTAATGGTTTGACAATTATGGTTTTAGTATTAAATTAAAAACGAAATTTTTTGTCATGATTTTTTGGGATGTTACACAATTAAAACAAGTTAGTTGCTTTCTTATGTACAAAAAAGAAGAAGTTACCAATATGTGAACACGGATAAAAGGTAGTTACCCTCCTAAGTCATTTTCCCTTTGAGTTACCGGTTAAAATATGTATTAGCCGGTAATATTGGTGTAATTTAAACAGTTAAAACAAGTTAGTTGCTTTCTTATGTACAAAAAGGAAGAAGTTGCCAATATGTGAACACGGATAAGAGGTAGTTACCCTCCCAAGTCATTTTCCCCACTAAAAAAATTGGAAACCGAACTGGACCATTGTGGAAAAAAAATAGTTTGATACAAATCAATTTTGTTTGAAACGAACTACCTGTTTAGTAATGGTGTAACGGTAAAAAAAGTTATAAATGGAAATTGAAAGCTTATTTTACTCTAGTTTATCATTTCTATTATTGAGTTCTCTATTGTATCTTCAACAAATGACCTCTATTGTATCTTTCTATAGATGAACAAGTTTTTTAGAAAGAAAAGGTTGAGAATAAAAGGTAATAGATACAGTTTGAACTTGCACTTTTTGCCCATAGTATCAGTTTTAAGTTTTCAATAAATAAAAATATACGTATTAATTATGCTTTTATATTAAAATAAATTTAATGTTTGATAAAATAATAAATAAATAAACGAGAAAGCCCACATGAACGTCATATTAGCACCACATGGTTGGAATCAAATATACAAAAAGTTTAACCTCATGCCTTCATGGAATGCTTCCCAGGTTCACTATAAGATGTTTCCAATTGCTCCACTTATATTAATTTTGAAATCCCCAATCTTCATCTATTTAGGTAATTAGTTGGTTCTTTGACCGAGTTAAGGTACCTTGACCTTGGCTGGAATCATTTTAATGGAACCATTCCTCCAGAGTTTGGAAACCTCACCAACTTGCAGCACCTTCATCTTAATTCTGTTGGAAGGTGTAGAGTTAAAAGCATAGAGTGGTTGTCTCATCTCTCTCATTTGCAGTCCCTGAGAATGGGTGGGATTTCCCTAGCCAAACAAAATCACTGGGTAGATGTCATTCTGAGTCTCCAGAAACTCTCAGATTTATCTTTAGGTGGATGTGAGCTGTCACAGGTCATGTATCCATATTCTTCTTCATTTCTCAACTCTTCTTCTTCTTCTTTATCCATTCATACCCTTTCTCTCCAAGACAACAATCTCAACTCATCCATGTATCGTTGGTTGTTCCTATTAACCAGCAATAAGCTTCGTGTTCTTTTGCTCTCTGGCAACATGTTAGATGGGATACCCAAATACCTTGGTAACCTCTGTAGTCTGGAAACTTTGTACTTCAATAACAACTCTGCTATTGTCAAATTTCCTGATTTTCTCAACAACTTGTCTGGTTGCACATCCCTTTCATTACAATTGTTGGATGCTCACGGTAGCCAATTTACAGGGTCACTGTCCGATGAGATCCAGAAGTTTGCATCCCTAGAATCTCTGTACCTATCTGATAATCAGTTAAATGGAAGTATAAGTGAGAAATTGTGGGAACTACCCAGCCTTGAAACTGTTATCATTTCCTTTAATAATCTTACAGTTCCTTCCACATATCACTTGTCAAACATCTCTTATGTTAAATATCTTGATCTGAGCTCTTGCAAGCGGCTAGGGCCTCGCTTCCCCAAATGGATTATTCAGACACTTAAAAATCTTACCTTTCTTGATCTTTCCAATACTGGAATTTCGGACACAAGTCCTCTAGAGTTTTGGGACAGCTGGCCTTCTCAATTAGAATATCTGAATCTCTCTTCCAACAACATTAGCGGGAAAGTACCAGATTTATTATCGAATTTTGCCTATGATTCAGTGATAGATTTGAGTTCCAACAGCTTTCATGGTCCGATACTGAATGTCTCTTCCACTTTGACATCATTAAATCTTTCCAGAAACAAATTCTCTGGAGGAATATCATTTATATGCCAATTTGTTGATGGGTTCTTATCATTTCTCGACCTCTCTCATAACTCATTAAGCGGACAACTCCCAGACTGTTTGTGGCATTTCAAAGAGCTAAAAGTTCTTAATCTCGAACACAACAATCTCTTTGGAAGGCTTCCTCCCTCTATTGGATCTTTGATGCAACTCAATGCGTTGTATTTATACAAGAACAACTTCTCTGGAGAATTGCCTCTGTCTTTAAAAAATTGCACAAGTTTAATCTCTTTGAATCTGGGGGCCAACAAGTTTTCTGGTAAAGTGCCTGTCTGGATTGGTGAAAACTTAACAGGGTTGTATGTTCTTATCCTAAGATCAAACAACTTCTTTGGAACCATACCCTTACAGTCATGCCATTTAGCTAATCTTCAAGTTCTGGACTTGTCGATGAACAATCTCCATGGAACTATCCCTTCATGTTTGAGTAATCTTACAAACATGGTTCAACAAGGAGGATTCTCACAAGGTGAATTTTCCTATGGAACTGCGAGAAGTGATAGTGTAAACACACAAGGTATATATGCCGACCATGTGACTATTGAGTGGCAAGGAGATGAACATGAATTCTTTAGCACTCTGAAATTGTTGAAGAGCATTGACCTGTCAAGCAACAACTTAACAGGACAAATCCCATACGAAATTACCAATCTTCATGACTTGGTTTCCCTAAACTTGTCAAAGAGCGCTCTATCTGGAGAGATTCCACAGAAAATTGGTGAGATGATAAATCTTGAGATTTTGGATTTATCCCGAAATAATTTCTCAGGGAGGATACCATCAAGCATGTCTAATATGAGCTTCCTGAATTACATAGACGTGTCTTACAATAACTTGTCAGGGAGAATCCCATCTTGCACTCAACTCCAGTCCTTTCCACCTTCAAGATACAATGGAAACGCGCATCTATGCGGACTTCCCCTTACCAAAAGTTGTCCTGGAGATGAAGAATCAAAAGCACCACCTCTTATTGGTAAAAGCAAGGGTGATGAGGAAGACACAGATGATGATGAACTCTGGGGATGGTTTTATATTGGTGGGGGCATGGGTTTTGCTACTGGATTTTGGATAGCATGCGGAGCTTTACTTCTCAACCGCCGAGGGAGACGTGCATTTTTTCACTTTTTTGATAGCTTCAAAGATTGGGTTTATGTGAAGGTGATTGTGTTTATTTCAAGTTTGCAAAAGGCTCGACAGACTTAGTATGTCATCTACTTTTTCTTTTTTCATTTCATATTTTCCTGTATGCAATATGTAATTTGGCTGGGGTTTTTTAAGTCTCCCATATCAATATATTTGCCACCAACACCATGGGTGGCCTTTTTCCCTGCTTTGTATGAAATAAGATATCCTGAAAAATTCATATATTCGTAGCATATAAAACACTACAAGAAATATACTCTTTAGCAGCGACACTATTACCGGCGACAAGGAGCTTTACCGGCGACTTTATCAAAAGTCGCCGGTAAAGCTCTTTGTCGCCAGTAATAGTGTCGCCGCTAAAGGGTTGTCACCCGAATCCGCACTTTCCCCCTCTATTGCATCTCAACCGTTCGATGAGATATCCAATCCAACGGGTGGGGTGCCTTATCCTGTCAAACCTAATACCGGCGACACAGTTGTCGCCGCTAAAGGGTTAAAAAAGTCGCCGCTAATAGTCCGCTAAAATTGACGCGGTACCCTTCCCTCCAGTTTGTCGCTACTATTACTCATTGTCACCGGTAAAGCCCCGGTGTCGCCGCTATTGCCATCCGCAGATAAAAAAAAAAAAAAAACGCACGCAGATAACCTCCCATCTTCATTTTCCTTTCTGTTTGCTTCCAATTTCCTTCACCATCTGGCCGATTTCCTCTTCAATCTACTTCTTCCAAGCAAATTTCTCCCAACATTGTTCCAAGCAAGTGTCTCTAGGTGTGGTTAAAGCTTTGGGATCAATTTCTACCTCAATTTCTTGAAGAAAGGTAAGTTTTTTTTTGATGATTTCATTTTTATTTTGTATGAATTTCGATTTCTAGCTTTATGTAGTGATTGAATGATAATAAATTGTTCATATTCTTGTTTTTGGTGGTGTTGTTTTGGATTACAAGCAAGTTATTTAATTTTTTGTTTGTGGTTATTGAATTGCAATTAGTTGTATAGCTTCAAGTTGTATTTATATGTGAAATTATGTGAAAATTGTCATATGTGAAAATTAGATTGTATATTCCGTATTTGTTTGAATATATGTGAATTTGGTATATATATTCCAATGTATGTGTGTTTGATGTATATGTGGTATATTAGTATTTGGTAGAAATTTATGTATTTGTTATAAGTAGAATGTTATTGTGTGTATGTGAATGCATGTATGTTTGTTGTAAATGTGATATATGATTGTGAAACTTTTGTATTTGGTATAAATAAGATGTTATTATGTATATATGTGAAATTATGTGTATTTGGTTTAAGTAGGATGTTATTTTGTGTTTATTTGTATTTGGTGTATATGTGGTATATGTATGTAAAAGTATGTGAATTTCACCTTCTTATGTATTATGTAAAACTATGTGGTTTTGGTATAAGTAGGATGCTATAATTGAAAAAAAAATACATTACTTTTATAATTTGAAAAAAAAAACACAAAAAAAACTATAAAATTGTTTAAAAACTTATATACAAAAACTAGAAAGCTTCTAGTTTTTACCCAAGCTAACTCCAAACTAATTAACCAATACGTTATATAGTTAACTTATAATTGAAAAAAAAAACACAAAAAAATTTATAAAATTGTTTAAAAACTTATATATATTTTAATCTCGACGGTTAAAAAAAACAACACAACAACATAATATGTATGTAAAAGTATGTGAATTTCATATTCTTATGTATTATGTAAAATTATGTGATTTTCTTATAAGTAGGATGCTATAATTGAAAAAAAAAAAAACATTATTTTTATAATTTGAAAAAAAAAACACAAAAAAAACTATAAAATGGTTTAAAAACTTATATACAAAAACTAGAAAGCTTCTAGTTTTTACCCAAGCTAACTCCAAACTAATTAACCAATAAGTTATATAGTTAACTTATAATTGGAAAAAAACACAAAAAAAATTATAAAATTGTTTAAAAACTTATATATATTTTAATCTCGACGGTAAAAAAAACAACACAACAACATAATATGTATGTAAAAGTATGTGAATTTCATGTTCTTATGTATTATGTAAAATTATGTGGTTTTCTTATAATTGAAAAATTAAATAAATAAATAAATTATTGTTATAATTGGAAAAAGAAAACACAAAAAAAATTATAAAATTGTTTAAAAACATGTATATATTTTAATCTCGACGGTAAAAAAAAACAACACAAAAACATAATATGTATGTAAAAGTATGTGAATTTCATGTTCTTATGTATTATGTAAAATTATATGGTTTTCTTATAAGTAGGATGCTATAATTGAAAAACAAATAAAAATACATTATTTTTATAATTTGAAAAAAAAAAACACAAAAAAAAACTATAAAATTGTTTAAAAACTTATATAAAAACTAGAAAGCTTCTAGTTTTTACCCAAGCTAACTCCAAACTAATTAATCAATAAGTTATATAGTTAACTTATAATTGGAAAAAAAAAACACAAAAAAAATTATAAAATTGTTTAAAAACTTATATATATTTTAATCTCGACGGTAAAAAAAAACAACACAACAACATAATATGTATGTAAAAGTATGTGAATTTCATGTTCTTATGTATTATGTAAAATTATGTGGTTTTCTTATAATTGAAAAATTAAATAAATAAATAATTTATTGTTATAATTGGGAAAAAAACACAAAAAAAAATTATAAAATTGTTTAAAAACTTATATATATTTTAATCTCGCCGGTAAAAAAAAACAACACAAAAACATAATATGTATGTAAAAGTATGTGAATTTCATGTTCTTATGTATTATGTAAAATTATGTGTTTTTTTATAAGTAGGATGCTATAATTGAAAAAAAAATACATTATTTTTATAATTTGAAAAAAAACACACAAAATAAAACTATAAAATTGTTTAAAAACTTATATAAAAACTAGAAAGCTTCTAGTTTTTACCCAAGCTAACTCCAAACTAATTAACCAATAAGTTATATAGTTAACTTATAATTGGAAAAAATACAAAAAAAATTATAAAATTGTTTAAAAACTTATATATATTTTAATCTCGACGGTAAAAAAAACAACACAACAACATAATATGTATGTAAAAGTATGTGAATTTCATGTTCTTATGTATTATATAAAATTATGTGGTTTTCTTATAATTGAAAAAATAAATAAATAATTAAATTATTGTTATAATTGGAAAAAAAACACAAAAAAAATTATAAAATTGTTTAAAAACTTATATATATTTTAATCTCGACGGTAAAAAAGAACAATACAACAACATAATGTGTATTATAAAATTGTTTAAAAACTTACAAGTAATTTTAATTAAAATTAATTAAAAAAATGCATAAATAAAAATTTTTAATTTATTTTTTTCATTTCTTTATTACTTAATTTTTGTTAGGTTCATCAAATGAAAATAGAAAAATCTCCAGAATTCTACAAAGAGTTGTCGGTTCTTGCAATGGGCCCGCAAATGAATGCCTATTCTTACACCGCATGCATAGTCAATGGTGTTAGGTTTATGGTACTTAGTCGTGACACACAACGTACAACACAAAACTCTGGGGTTTTAGCGGTGGGTGAGAAAGGCGAGAAATATTATGGCCAGTTAGAAGAGATTATAGAGTTAAGGTATACACATGATTATTCAACTGTACTATTTCGTTGCAAGTGGTTTGATACTCGAACAGGAGTTATTTCTAGTGATAGTTTCACCAGTATCGACACACGACACGAAGCATACAAAGATGATCAACTCATATATGCGTCACAAGCCAAACAAGTGTTCTACATCAGAGAGCCAAACAATAACCACCGGTGTGTTGTCGAGCATATTAATCATCGAAGTATTTGGGATCTACCATCGAACGATGACCTTGTTCAAAATGTTGACAATGTCTCACACGAAAATGTAGATGATGTCGATATACTTCAAAATATCTCTTCATCCGATGCTCCACTTTTTATCGATTTCAGCATGTACTTTCAAAACATTCCTAGAGTCATTGTTGATGTAGAAAGTGCATCTGAAGTTCCTCCGCCAACTGGTAGAGTCAATGATGTTTCTGATTGCGAGACTGATTATGATGACACCGATTCTGACTATGATACCGAAGAAGACACTGAAGGATATGAGAAAGATTCTGATTAGAATAGTTCTTATGTAATGTGTATTTGTAATATGTGTTTGTAATATGAACTTTATTTGGATTTCTAGTTTAAATAGAAATGTTTATTCCTATCTAAATGTTTATTTCTATGTAATGTGTATCCATAATAAAAATTGTATTTGTATATCTTATAATTTTTCAGGAAATGATGAGAGTGTGGCTGTTGTTTATGTTTACCATGGCTGCTGTCATGGGTCGTGGACATGGGGGAGACGGAGCTGAGGACCCACCTTTCCCAGGTGGTAGAGGTCCTGGCCAGCACGAGCAGGACGGTAAGTCTTATCATGAATTTTTATTTACTATTTTTGTTCAATTATCATAAATTAAATGTCGTTTCTAATAATTTTTAATTACATTTGTAGTTGAGGAACGTGCCCGAAGGAAAGTTCGAGGAAAAGCAAAAAATATAAAGCTTGAAAGCAATCTTGCAGAACCAAGGGAAACCAATAGGCATGCAATATGATAGGGATATCACATTTAATCCTGTAGGAGAGGCGGGAGACATGTTTTCCCAAGAAGTTGGGAAAACAATGTGGCAGATGGTCCCTTTCGACAAATGGAGTTGGAAAAGAGTTTCCCCTGATATAAAGGACACTGTATTACAACATTTAGCGGTAATTATTTATTTAAATATATTTTATAGGTTTAACTATAATTGTTTTTTACTTGGTTAACTTTTTTTTTATTGTAAACAAAGTTTGATCTCAATCAAATGTACCAGGATACACAAGCTACTCTATTGACAGTGAGTTTTCAAGCAGCCTTGTTACAAGGTTTTCGGGAGCATAAAGCCGAGGCAAAAGAATATTTCAAGAGGGTCGGAGGGTATGAATATATCCCGAGAGCATTGGCAAATCCTCCGGATGGTATGCTTGTTGATAAC